CGGACACTGTACACGCAACTTCGTTCGATATTTAGTAGGCGCGAGTACTAGTGGGAAATATCTAGTTGAGTTAACTCATTCCAGAGGAGCACGTGGCTCATCGAATGGCGCTAAAACAGGGAGTCCAAAGGTCAAATTTACCGCTCAACCACACAAATTCTACCCGAATAGTACCCAGGAGAGCCTGTTCTGCACAAGTGTGTATATATGAAAACTATGACATATAGACACCATGAATTTTTTAAAATGAGTTTAGTGTAGAAATTCACAGAACGGGTAGGGAAATTTCGACCAGTGTTCATTACCTTCGTCTCGTCCGTTTCAGATGCCAACTAGTGGACTGCCTGAAATTGCAGTGGCCAAGTAGAGCACCTGATCAGTGCTCATAACTGGGTACTTGCCTTGACACTGAACAGTAGACAAACGCATGTAAGTTGGCCCCTCATCGTTAAGCTTGTTGACAAGACCACATGGGTTGGCAGAGCTTGAGACAGCCAATGAAGGAATGCTGAAAGCCGTAAGAAGCACAACTAGCAGACGGCGCTAAGATTGGTTCATCGAACAGTGCTCGGCTCCGGTCCGAAAAGAGTGAAGTAAACGGGCTACAGGAAAGTTTGAAATGTGAACATCTGGTGCAACAATGTTGGTGTTGGAATATAAAGGCTGTGTTTGATGAGTGTGAATACCAGCGAAAGGAAGAAGGCTGCGCAATCATCTACTAGAGAAACACCAACCGAGCACTTACAGGCTATTGTACAGGGGGGGGCAGAACTCTCATATGCATCTTGTTTACAAAACTGAATATCCATCTTCTCCTTAAACGCGTCTTCTTGTACTTTCTTGGATATTCATTGACTGTTACTCAAGCAAGCAAACGCTACAAAGCGACTCCACCTCACTTTTCAAGAGACGCGAAGCAGATTTACGAGAAAACATACTACTCACATGTCCCATCAGTAGTATCCACCGTTACACCAACTGACTCAAATTTATAGATCTAACGATCCTTCCTCTTAGATCTAAACTGATGGTGGCTGGTTCGGTGAAACATTACACGCCGATGTGTCCAGTGGATGTACAGCGTGCTATGATGGGAAAAAGACAGCAACTCGAAGGTCGTAACCAGCAGTTCTAGGGATTTCGTACAGGTATCAAATGATGGCAACTTGTGTTGCAGTTTTAGGAACAAACTTAGGAGAGTGCAAACTTCACCCATATTGATATAAATCCATGGATGTTATTCATAACTATATATAGTGATACAAATACACGGCAAAAATATCAGTTTCGATATAAACATCAAAGTACTCTTATTTCGAGAACAGCTGCTTGGTAAAACAAAACCATAAATAGAACAAGACAGCGAATAAGTGTCCCAAAACAAAGTGACAAAGTAGCCATTAAGAAGCAGCAATGCCATTTTATCCTTCTAACATGTAAAGGTACTTCGTACGGACTTACTACACTACTCATAAGGTTGCTATAAAATCTTTCACAGACCACGACCGGTTTCACCCTTCTTGAGGCTCGTCGGGTAGACACAGTCCTCACTTTCTGTTCTACTCGAACCCGAATTGCGCGAAGTTGACTAAATAGACGCATTTGCCCTCCAAAGTCGTTTTCACGGAAGATGTTCCGAATATCGTCGCAGGAAGCGGACTTTCGCGGCATACTGACTTGAAGAATGCCATAGCCAAGCTATTCAGCGGGGATACAGTTGAATCGGCGAAACCTAAATGATTGTGCTCACCGGATTTCGTACCATTTGGAATAATCGAGAACATTAGGTTGACGTAAGCTCGGGAGATGCATTCATCCGATGGGTCTGAATAGGGAAGCGGAAACAGGTCTTGGGTTGACGAGGTATCTTCTAAAGCCTTGTGAGTAGTTTCCTTCAGAGTCCAAAAAGCCCTGTAAACATCGATCAGACGGAACAGCAAAATTTACAAAGGATATCTGTCAGGAAGGGAACAAAACTGCGGTGCTCAGTTCTGTGTGCCCAGCTCCAAGCAGAAAAATCATGAGGGATGAACAGATAACGCGTTAAAAACTCGCACAAGCTTCAAAAGTGTTTAGTTTGTTCTTTCGGACTTCGAAAACCGACATCGTAAGATTCGCCTCTATTGATACAACTAGATTTGTCGAACCACTGGATGCGATAAACTTCACATGAAACAGCTCTTCAGGCATGAATAACTATACAAAAGTCTGACGTGCGGTGTTGTGCAGATGTGGTTCGCGGAACGTGAATCCGGACACTGACACCGCCGCGCGACACATGGCATCAGTCTCACCATTCCCAAACAGTGGTTTAATATTTCACTGTTATGCAAGCGTGGTGGTTGTGCCTGCTCTGAAAAGTGTTCAGGTCACTGTGTCTGCGAATAAAATGTAAGGCTTTTTACCTGACAGGACGGTTTTTCAAGCATTACACTCTCCAGAACAACGAATTCCTGCAGATGTGGGGGCTGGTGCGTAGGTGAAGGGGACGGAGGACAGGCTCGGTAACCTGTGTAATTAATCAGCGTTTGCGAACCATCGCTTGCGAGCATCACTACACGCACATGGACTTGTGTGTGTGTGTGTGTGTGTGTTAGTTGATGAGCGCACGCTACATCGAGACACACTTGTTCGTCAAAGACTGACAGACGAAACAGAACGTCCATATCACTACACATGGACTTGTGTGTGTGTGTGTGTGTGTTAGTTGATGAGCGCACGCTACATCGAGACACACTTGTTCGTCAAAGACTGACAGACGAAACAGAACGTCCATTAATATGGCGTGCAGGATGTGCGGCGAAAAAGGAACGATCACATAGAACTGATTACGTAACCAGATCCGAAGAAGACGTCACGATTCCGCTTGAGCACACGCAACAGAACACTTACTTCCAAATAAATAAGCTTTCAGCAGTGCTTTGGTTCTTTCCGTATTTGCAATCAATTCGATTTCGCCCCGGACATTAAACTTTTATTTTTTTTCAACATATGCAACGATGACGTCCCCCAGTTCAAAGTTTCCCGACGATAACGGAAACTCGGGGGAAATGCCCATCTAAAGAGTTTTTGGAAAGGGTGAAACCCGTAGGGGGCTTTCGGAGAGTCTTCAATGACCTTATAAGTAAGGTGTTGTGCCAAGAAGAAAAACCCACATCCTTGTGCACTTCCCGTCATACCATATAACTGCTCATTTCTATTTAAGGCCATTTGGTGGTACGACCACCAACAGATACATTATAAGGTAGCGTTGTCACTTAGTCTGCCAAGCATAAAGATCACTCTGATTGACTACCGAGCCAAACTCCCATATTCAGATGACCTTGCTAGGTTTGAGTGGAATCTGGTTACTGTCACTGCCTTTGGAAGTTCTCAGATTGTCTCTCATTGTCATTCCGTAGGTGAAGTACGTATGACCTCCAGTGAGAGATATAAAATCGTTCAGCCGTAGCACCCTTCCGGTGCCTAACTGCCATGCAACCCGAAGGTTTCACAAAGGCTGGGATACTGCCAAGTTGCCCAATTCTAGACAGGGGAAGTCGAGAGGCAGGGGTCGGGTTCGAACCACAGACCTTGCGGTCAGTAAATTCGCGCTCTAACCACTTCAGCCATCTCGCCCCCGGTGAGAGATATATGGTTAGTTGATTGAATGTCTAGGGGCTCACCCTCACAGCATTTGTGATGAAGGCGGGCGATCCCGGGTTTCACCCTACGTGAAATGTATTCAACCTCAGATAGTCCCGGTGTCTGTCACGCGGGTAAACGAGTCCTGAGTTGTGACGATTTGGAATGCTTTCAAAGTCTTGACTCAGAAATGCAAGTTATGTAGCGTGGTGTAACGACCGAAGACCACCTGTGAAGCAACTCAATGAAGTAAACCAGCTCAAAATCACGTACAAGAATGCAATGCACTCTAAAGTGTACTTCTGTATAGTTTATTTCTGCATAATAATACGAAAAACGACGATTCATCATCATCGACAGCATTACATCAGTGTTCAACACTGATGCTTCGCTGCCTCGCAACCATTATTTATTCGAAAACATTATCGTGAAAAGAAGAATAAACGTGGATGTGGAAACTACTCTCCTGGTCAGATGTAGATCAAGACAAAACTTATCTTTTAAGCCCTGCCTTTCCGACACGGCAGACTGTTCCACCGGTGTATTGTCTGTGTGTATGAAAATTATCCAAACTCACTGTGTGGATGTTTCGAGGATAGCAGCCAGGAGGGGCTGAAGAGAAGAACGCGATAAGTTAGATAAATGTATTAGTGAGTTGGTAGCATTCGCCAACGAGGAAACACAAGAACATAGGTTTAGCAGTTAATCACCTGAGCACCAGGACAGGTGGGGTCGAGGGCGACAGTAATGCGGGGTTACAATCACAAACAATACAAGGAGTGTCCGCTATTGGGAGGGGGGCTCTCGATTTCTTCCGGATGACGTTCAAGGATGTCTTCATGTTCTGACTTCATTACCACCGCCACTTCTGAAAGTAGACAAGAGGGGTTATAATTAACAATGGCGAGCCCTGTGATATCTGCGGGCATTTTACACTGGTCACTAAGACTGCAAGGCCCGAGTCACGTTTGCTAATTTGGGACACCTATGGCGTCAGAGTGGTTTATCCCTGAATCTCAAGGGACATGGGTATCAAGCTATAATGCAAGCTGTTTTGTCGTGTGGCTGTGAGACTTGGTTTATTCGAGCAGCGAGACTGAGACCTCTTCAGGTGATCGACAATCGTTGTCTCAGAACCATAGCTTGTGTGGGCTGGTGTCGGCGAATCCATAATGTGACAATTAGAAATCGCGTTTTCCGTTGTGCAACGGGTACGTCCGTTGATGAATGTGACCAGCACCAGAAGCTACGTTGGTTGGGACATGTGCTGCGTATGCTGAACCATCGTTTGCCGAAGAAAGTGCTTGCTGTTTTCCATGCCCAATTCAGAGTGGCGTAAACAGAGAGGTGGCCAACCCTTGACTTGGCGGAAGTGTATGAAGGAGATCATGAAACGCCTGGGCGCTGTCAGTGCTACTCGCCTTCCAGGATGGGGAACGCGTGGTCCTCACTGCACTTGCTTGGAGACACTACGAGATATGGTCGCCAACCGATGTCTGTGGTGTTTTTGTTGTCAGTTTCTATCTAGATTGCCTGAGTGAATGTTTGGAAGTGTAGGCACCTCGGATTGATTGTGGTAAGCTAGAACTAAGGCCCTTCCCGTCCATCTTTTACTTTTTTACTCTTTTACTCTTCTACTCTTTTGTTTGCAATAGAACTTTCAAATAAGTCATGGTTGTACGGCAGTGAAGCATCGGTGTTGAACACTGATGTCATGCTGTCGATGATGATGTGTTTACGTTAGAATTTCCTCCTGCGTTGACAATACGTCCATGTGAAAACATGACTAAGATGTAGCCTAGCCTCTAGAACCGGCTCATTGTGAATAGTGGCTTGTCTAACCCATGGTGTAATACTGTAAAAAAATCATTGACCGGACATTAACCGTGTAGCTTGATGTACGACCTGTCGGCACTTTGAGAGCTTCAGAGACTTATGATCGCAGTATGCCATTGGCTTAAGTTGGGGTGCTTTTGCTCGCTAGATGTTCAGTTTCCAATACAACAGCTTCATTAGATAAACAGGTAGTCTAATGGATACTGATCACGCATCGATTGAGATGGGTCGCATGCGTCCTGAAAGCTGTGTCCTCACCCCAACGGTCGTCCTGGTTAGAGTAAGTGGGGCTCTACCTGCACTCATAGTGACTTTGGTAAACAAGACAGCCCATTGTGACTCGACAGTCTCGGGACAACGTCTGTCCGGCCCCATTCATGACATGCGTAAGTGATGCGCAGTTGCTGTGTGGCAACGTCGGCGGTACTAGCAGGCCAGTGCGACAGTTTGGCGGGTATACTGACTGTCGGTCGCATCAGGCACAGGCTTGTTCGGCAGCGTACCCACATGATTATTAACGCTCGATCCTACACTTTAGCCTCACAGGGACACCGGAACAAAGAACCATGGGTGTGTTCGTGATGCCTGCTTTGGTAGGAGGGGCAGATGACAGTGTTTGTGATCATCCAACCACATGACTGACTGAGGGCATGAACAAAGAAATTCAGACAGGCGCAAAGTTATGATCCATTTGATTTAATGCAGGCACAGCATGGGGCTGTCTGACTGACTGGCTGGCTTGTTGGCTCGACAGAATACTTGCAAGCTTGACGGGCGCGATGAAATATCTGTCAGACTGTCCACTCACAATGGTGGTGCGATGGTGCTTACTTGTCCTGATCGGAGATGTCACAGACACACAGACATGTTCGCTTTCTTTGCAGTCCCGTTCGACTGAATTCGTCCACGTATAACTGTAAAGACGAATGGGAAATGACTACACTATTGACAGCTTCTGTTTAATGACATTTGTAAGCCTCTACCACCGTTTCATCATCTAAACGGAAAATATGAAACTGAGTATTCAGCTAGAAGTCACGTGATTGCGACTGATGCTGCTGCTTGCACCATATAAACTGGTGCATTTTCCTGTAGCGGAGTGCACCCATCACGCAGTTTTTGTCATTACTACTGATGCGGGACTTGTATATGTGATGGTTATTGCAAAACCCACTAGCACTGCCGACGCACAGTGCTCATGCGTTTACAATGGCCGGCTGCGGTCAGATGAGCTACGTCTGACGAGACCCCTCAAGAGCGTTCACCCAATATGGAACCATCATTTCCAGCGGGCTCCTCAAAGTTTACCGTAAAGAACTCACGTTTCGCTACTCGGGAGATCAGAAACTATGCGGTGGAAACTGATAGGAATTTTTCGAGACATTGGGTGTAGAGCTTGTGTGCGTTGCTCTTTTGCTCTGACTCAAACTAATAGACAGATTACTCAGTCCGGGGGGGGGGGGGGAACCATCATTTCCAGCGGGCTCCTCAAAGTTTACCGTAAAGAACTCACGTTTCGCTACTCGGGAGATCAGAAACTATGCGGTGGAAACTGATAGGAATTTTTCGAGACATTGGGTGTAGAGCTTGTGTGCGTTGCTCTTTTGCTCTGACTCAAACTAATAGACAGATTACTCAGTCCGGGGGGGGGGGGACGGGACAAATAAAGAAATTGGCTGGTTTTGGTGCGCTGCCAACATACATCCTGCTGTAACTCTGTACGGATTTTAATCAGAAGGCTATGCGATGCAAACCTCGGCTAATATTCTCGGTAGTGCCTAGTCACCGACCTTATTCATCCTGAATCATAAAGCATTCGTCAGTTTCAGACGATTTCAGTAGCACAGACGACGGAAAACCCTCTCAGAAGGGAAGACCAGTCGCCAGGAGTAACTGAAGTTTCACATGGCAAGTACACTTAGAATGTGAATAATACATGATAAACGGGAGTGCAGATAGGCCGTCTAAAGGTGCCGAAGTATAAATTTATTTAGTCAGTTAGTTGGAACTGGTTCGAAAGGTGTGACTGCTTGACCAATACTACATCGATGAAACAGGGATTGTGAGCCTAACTGTTCGTACAGTGATCGCTTCGGCCGTTGGGGGTGCATTTTGACGGATTCCTGTAAAAGGATTCGATGGCACTCATGTTGAACGAGCCCGTACCCGATGAGATGAGCAGAAATCACGCTTATCACGTGTTTGATTTTCGGGGTCCGTGGTGGTTGATTAGCTGCAGCTGACCGGTTGAGCAAGCTACCAATATTCGGTGCTCCACTACAAAAGTTCAGATGTCTAGCAGCTCTCCGAGACTGTCGTACCACGCATGTAGTTTGAACCACATTCACCAGCGAAAGAATAGATGACCAAAAACGAGGTTTGGGCTAGTACATTGTAAATGAAGTGAGTTCTGAGCGAGCAGTCACCACTGAAAAGAATTCTAACCGGTGAAGCAGAGAAGGTTCTCTAAACGTAATACTCCGCTCATAAGGTTGAGCACGGTGCTGCTCAGTGATTAAGGCACGAACTGACTGGAAACACCATTATTCGAGACAAGCTTCTGCATCGCGACTGCTTCTGTCTAGGCTTGGGCCAGTTGGCACTACCTCAGACCTCGTGCTTCCTTCGGCAGCTTTGCACCGAAAACCGTTACGGCTGAACGCACCCATAAGGTTACTCAGACCTCGTCCTTCGGCAGCTTTGCACCGAAAACCGTTACGGCTGAACGCACCCATAAGGTTACTGAAAGTTGTTCGACACCCAACGACCGAGGAGATTTCAGACGCATGCTAAATTTAGACAATGCATTCGGGTATCTCGAATATCATAGGAATTGAAACGTGAGTTAGCCTGGTGCGGCACATTCATTTGACGCAGTTTACCATAAACGAGAGGTTTAACTGGATTTAGTTGAGTCTCCTGTCATAACCAAATTCGTGTGCAAGATTATTTGCGGAATAAAAGATTCTCCCTATAGGATGGCTTGCTTCTGTTGTGGCTGTTTCTGAGGATCTGTCACATCTGAAGGCCTGTCTGATGATGGCATTCTCCCCTTTCTCTCGTGGTGCTCTTCCCCATATACCTCAGGATTATTTCTGAGCCAACCCCGTTGAATTCGATTTACTCTTCACCGGTCTTTGAATCAGCGCGACGCTAACTTTCAGAAACTAGTCTAAAACGATTATGGATAGACCGATATTCACGTGTCTTAAAATATCACAGCACTACGGAAGGTGATCAGTAAAAATGTATAAAAACTATCGGACCCAGCATTTTATCAGGAAATAACTCCCAGAAAGATTTTTTCTAGGATGAACACTCCACTGAATACGTTTTTATTCTGTGCGGGAAAACGCAACAAAACTCAACTGCAAGCAGCTGACAAACTTGTCCATTTCCAAAGTCAAAGGAACAATGGAACTAAATTTAACATTTTACGTCAAGTAGTTTCAGTCGTCTGTCTTGGCTCTTAAAATCAGTTTTTGTGTAGATGAACCGCATGTGATTTAGCGATAGTCTGAAAAACCGAGCGGTGTGGAGCGGGGTATTAGATTTCATGAGTTTTCTGGTTCTATTTAGATCCCAGAATGCAAAATGTCAGCATGCCTGCTCCAAACAGTTGGGCACTTTTAGCCAACAGTAGATTGTTAGAGCCTTGTTCCACTTACCAGCCTTGTAAGTTTTACCCCAAAAGAAGTCTGTCCCATAAATGCAACTACTCACAAGGTTGCAGCCCACGACCGGTTTCGCACTTCTGTTTCGGGCTCATCAGGTAGGCGCAGTCCCCGAGTTTCCGTCAGCCTCATGTTTTACTTGAACCCGGTTGTGGGCTGTCCATTAGTTTTCAGCAACCTTGTGAGCAGTTTGCTTCTTGAAAATATACTGCGATATCTCGAATATCGTGCCAACTGAAACATAAGGCGGCCTGTGTGCAGCACATTCAGTTGTAGGATATCATAAACGAGAGATTCAGTTGAGTCTCTCGTGAAAACCAAATTGATTTGATTTCTCGAAGTTTGCCCCACTTCATTTAACGGAGAATTCCACGAGCAAAAAGGGCTTCAAGATGGCATCCCCCCAGTTGGTGTTACTTACCAGCGGTCTTTAGCCTGTTTAAAACATAGTTCCGAATATACAGGGGTGCATAGAGCGAAAGTTAAATACACCAAATGGAACGGTGAATTTTTTATGTACACCGTCAAACTGGAAGCTGGTTCCATCGGTAATATATTGGGGGTGCAAGTGTCCGAATTAAAGAATTTGACAATGCAATTTTTCGTAAAAGTGAAATATATAGAATTATATAAAGGCTCATTATTGATTTGCAGACTAGTGTTGAAAACAAGCTTACAGAAAGTATAAAATGAGGAAAATGGTCCATGTTGGGGTAAATATCCACGGTTAAATTGCGTTTGATTGATATGATATGATATGATGTGATTAATTAGCTAGCACATACTGCTTGTTTGGCGTGAATAGGTAGGTTGCTTCACTGATCTGGCAGCTCTCAGTATACCATATGCCACCCTAACGAGATAATGCGACCCATGCAGAGAGTTTATCACACATCAGACGACCATTCTTCACAAACATTTCGTTCGTCAGAATTAGAATAAACCAATGATAAACGCCTATTGAAAACTTATTTTGAGTCTGTTACGTAGATGTGACGATTCTTGTCACATGTGTATTGCTGGGGTTCGCCTACAACTATTTCCACCTGAAGCGATAAATTATAAGTGCATTTGTCTTTGTTATGTCTGATATGTTTATTTCTCCGAATGACATAGTCGGTAGGGCCTATGTTCAGATTGCATGTTCCGTAAACAGTTCGGATACCCGCCTTTATTGTGTACTCACATGGTATGTACCAGTTGCTCATAACTTTTCACGGTTTGTATACGTCCACGAATTCAACAAATCTCAAAGATTTTACTAAATCTTCGGACGTTTAAAACGTATTCAAGTACTGGATTTGGAAAATTTTACCCTGACAATGAAATTTAGGGCTTTCATGAGAGACTCAACTGAATCTCTCGTTTATGATGTTCTACAACTGAATGTGCTGCACACAGGCCGCCTCATGTTTCAGTTGGCACGATATTCGAGATATCGCAGTATATTTTCAAGAAACAAACTACTCACAAGGTTGCTGAGATCTCTTCGACAGCCCACGACCGGTTTCGTCCTTCTGTTTCGAGCTCATCAGCTAGGCTCAGTCCTCGAGTTTCCACGCCACATCAGAGGCGGAAAGAAAGACGCATCAACGGGTAAGAGCAAGGAAGGGTTGTTTTTAACAAAAACACTCTCAAGGTTGCAGCACATTCAAATGAAGAACATCATAAACGAGAGATTCAGTTGAGTCTCTCGTGAAAACCCTAAATTTCATTGTCAGGGTAAAATTTTCCAAATCCAGTACTTGAATACGTTTTTTTCAGCAACCTTGTGAGCAGTTTCCTTCATGAGGATATTTAGGGCTGTTTCAGGGCGTAACTTGACGCTTCTGAGTTTTCTATATGCGGATTCTGCTTTGGTGAACGGAACCTTAGATGTTCTTCGGTGAAAATGTGTGCGCTTTAGGTTGAAAGTGATCTGAGAAAGACGGGCAAAACTGGTGGCATCCATGGCACTTCGTACACTCTATCCCCACATTGCAAAACCGCTCAAATTTATCTGTTTGGGTTCAGGATGGATGGTCTTAGACGGGCGGTTGTTTGCGTTGAGGAAAGATATTGTAACATGTTTCCTTTTCTGTCAAACAAGATTTGGTAGATTTGTATTCCGGCGGGTTTTAGACATCCAACAGGGTACCATGCTTGGATGTCAGGTTGATCGGTTGACATTAACAGGGCCATTGCAAAGCCAACGCTCGATAAACTGGACTAACCAATCAGATTGCTCGGATTGCCAGCTTGTTCATCCTTGCACACGTGACGATTTGGCACCTGCGCTCGTGAGCGTATCTACAATGAGCTTGAATTGCATAACAGGTGAGTGAAGTTCAAATCTCTTTATTTCCAAAAGGGATGTACCGCTTATGCAGTGCAATGTATCCAAGTAGGAACACGCCAAGATATGAAAAAGATGGTAAAAAGAAATTTTCTCCAAGAACAGCTACAAATAACACACAAAACGGCAAAGCTGCTCGATTCATATCCCGAATCAGAATAGCGATAGGGGAAAACAGTGTGTGTGGGATGGCATCGTTCTTGTCAACCGCTAATGGATAAGCAAGTATACGTATCGATCTTAGAAACTCAAAATCCATATTCTGATGGGAAAACACAACGCCCAATCCGGTCATACGGACAAGAGTAGACGCAACTTCCGGCTGGGAGCTTTTTGTGAACAAGGGCCTAGTCAAAACTATGCGAACATCGAGGCTTCCATAAAGGCTAGCGAGCTATGTCTAATGTCTTGAGTGTCAAGCAAAATATATTAGGAGTTTGGCGGCAGAATAAGCGGATTCCGACTAAAACGTAGAATGACCGACTCCAAGTACCTAGACACAGGTTCTGCTGCTCCAGCCTCAAAACGAAAGCTGCAGAATTAGCAGTTTGAGGCCGATCGTTGAGTCTGTGTTCTGAGCGGGGGTGACAAAACTCACCAGTGTTTTCTGTCGACATTTGACCTGTACTCTACTGGAAGCAACAGTTGTTTTCGTCTGTGACAATCGTGTCTTATCTGGATAATACCCACACATTTCGCCACACCTAGCAAAGATCCCATCGTACTTGATGCCGAAATAGGAAACTCTTAGTCCAGTTTCAGGGCTTCAGTAAACTAATGGCGTTGCAATGGCATGTTTGTTAGGCACTATTCTGCTTGATCTCTTCAAGATACGAAGAAAATAGAAACACGTTAACCAAGCCCAGGTTCACGATGGTTACATAGAGACCATTTTTAATCATTACTTATCAGCTTTCAAATATAGGATACATGCTTCCCGTCCACGGGTCACTTGGTAAAAAAATTCACTTCACTCACAAATTAAATGACGATAACCCGTTTGCCATCTTGTCCGTCTTGGTAACCAGACAAGTAAACGGAACGAAGAGCTGCTGGGGGAACACAAGAGCCTCCGTGATTTTGTCCAATACAGTAAAAACAGTCAGGAATGTGTACCTTATTTTACAGCATTTTTTCAGTCCAAGCACCAAGCGTCTAATATATTGCGGTCATCAGGCTGAAACTCAGTCAGCTTTTAAAGTCTTCACAAAAAGTCAGAGGCCCCGTTTGTTGGCCTTTATTGAAACGTCGACGAGGTGTGAACCGGATGCTGCGCCTCACCCTGTTCACGCGACCCATTTGCACGTTGTGTGCTTTTCCGTGAGAAGGTGGATTCTGAATTTCTTATACTGATGCGCACACCCGATTACTCGCACTGCAGTCAGCGAAAGTGTTCCAAACGCCAGTATCCAGTATGAACTGTGGTAATCATCTAGCTCTGTTGGAACACAAAACTTCCCTCCATATTTCTCGTCAACCATTTCCATCCAATTGGTTGGGAATTTTAGTTCCTGCTTGTTTCATTATTCCAACGAGAAGTTTGCTTGTTCATTGCAGCGGAAACCAACGTTCACATACAGCTCTGTGTGTTTGTGCGAAATCTACCTAGTTCTGCAGAATCAAGCATGATGGCCGGGTGTGTGTCATACGTTACTTCCAATTACGTTAGCCGTGGAGTCAATATGACGATGTCTTCCGTCTGGATCAAGTCGTGATGTGAACTAAGGACCTTTGAACACTATTAATTCCTTTCACTTGTTCAGTCAGATTTGTGCTTGGCGAATCCCGGATAGTTCGATCCACGGACATTTCGTTGGCGCATATTTCCCCTATGAAACGTTGCATTTTCGAATATTTCAACGTAGGACACCTTGGTTAAGCTTACTCCTTACAAAAAACACCATTTGTAAGCACACCTTTACCGCTTGCAACTTTGGACTACAGTTTAGATTTAAGTTAGACCAGAAAAAACAGGTTAGGACCAGGCACGTTGTGTCATATGCCGAGGTCAAACATAACAAATGAGTATATTGTCAATTCTCTCAAGCTACATAAGATTCCTACCTCTTCAGTAAGTCAAACGGGTTTATAGTACAATCTTCCGTGCCTTCGCAGCGAAGCCTTTCCCTCTTTCTCTCGCAGCACCTTCAGTTACCTGGAAACATCACAAACGAGAGACTCAGTTGGGTTCCAGGAGGGTCTCTCGCAAAACCTAATTTGTTTGCAAATGAGTGTAGTTCGCCAATTTCTTGCAGTCTGGTCTCAAGTAGAACATAAGGTTGACGGGAACCCGGGGACTGCGCCTACCTGATGAGCCCCAAGAAGGGCGAAACCGGTCATGGGGTGTCGAAGAATTTTTAGCAACTTCATGAGTAGCGCATCACGATGTACACGTATCGCGATATCTCGAATATCGTAGCAGCTGAAACATGAGGCGGCCTGGTGCAGAACATTCAGTTGCTTGGAAACATCACAATCGACAGATTCAGCTGGGTTCCAGGTGAGTTTCTCGAAAAAACCAAATTGGTTTGCCAATGAGTATATTTTCTGCTTTATTCTATTATTTTTTCAAGCTAGATTCCATATCTGACAATGGCTTACATCATACGCGTACATTAGACACACATTCTTAATTCGTCCCGAGAAAGAGGGTCTCGTAAAGAATATAAAAAAACAATCAACCTATTGAAGTACACTCATTTGCAAAAAAATTGGTTCTGTGGAGGGCTCACCTGGAACCCAGCTGAATTTCTCGTGTGACTGAATGTGCTGCACCAGTTAACCTCATGTTCCAGTCGCTACAATATTCGAGATATTGCGACACATACATATTTTTGTAATGCATTACTCATAGGGTTTCCGAAAACTCGACAGCCCATGACCGCTTTCGCTCTTCTTGGGGCTCATCAGGAAGGCGCATTCCCCGAGTTTCCGTTAACCTCGCGTTCTACTTGAAGCCAAAGTGCACGAAATCCACGAAATGCACTCATTTGCAAACAAATTTTGTTTTACGAGGGATTTACCTGGAACCCAGCTGAGTCTCTCCTTTACGATGTTTTCATAAAGACTAATTTCCAACAACCTTATGAGTAGTGTGTAAATCAACCGCATGATTCGTGCTGTGTTCAGGCCTTGGTTTGTTCCGGATCGCGGGATCCGATTAATTTACGCTCCAACTCGTAAACGAAATGAGTTCAAATCAGCAAAAAGTACTCTGACCCACTCGTATGGTTTGTCGCATGCTTGATGGAGGAATACCGTCCCGTGATCGATTACTGATGGACTTGACTTACACGCGCATACTCGGAGATCGCTGAATCACAAAACCCGTTATTTTCGAAGCATTTCTCTGGTGTGTTTTTTGTATCAAAATCAGAACTTGATTCTTGGTAAAACAAGAACTTAGACTCGCGAAAACCGTCTTTTGTCGGGTTGCTTTTCTTGGTGAATAATAACTCCAATTAAGTTTTTCCTCTCTAACAGTCGATATACCATTATATATATATATAATGTCTAACGGTGTTCTTCGTCTGATATAAGTAGTTTCTATAATCTCGACATCTATAATCTCGACATCTGCATATCACAGGAGACTTAATTGCATCTCTCTGTTATGAAATTCTTCAACTGAATGTGCTGCACAAGGGCCTCCTCATGTTCAATTTGGTACGATATTTGAGGTATGGCAGTATATTTCCACAGAGGAATAGGTTACTTAATCTTCAACAACCTTGTGAGTAGTTTGCTTTAGATTCTATAATCTTTTGTTTGTATACGAACAACAAGAGGGAATATTCACCATCTTGATTGGAGGCCGATGCAATTGGAAATAAACAGATTGCGTAATCATCTTTTTTTCAACGTGTTTGTAACAGTTGTTCAAAAGAACGCTAGAAATAACCTTAGGACAATGAGGATACCAAATTAACCAGCTGATGTCATGATTTATTTTGACAGTTGCTTGTGGTGGCATAATGGAGCTACAAAAAAGGATCTCAGTAAAATTGAAATGACGAGAAACAGCTGGCGTTATCCCCTATTTTTGTAATTATTGTGACGCTGGTTCAGTACGAACTTAGCAGCTCTCTACGTGTTGTCCCTGACTGCATCCTGGAAGGCCGATAAACCACATGTAGTTGGAACTTCCACGTGTAGACAGGTGTTGTTCAAAGGTGTGAAGGCTTCGAAAGCCGATGCAATAAAATCATTTTATCATCCATTACGCTGACAATTGAAATTCCCTACGTTTATTCTGTCCGTATTTGCTAGCCCCGCTCCATTTTTGTGTTTAGTGCGTGTATATGAACTGACGTTCATCTGTCCTTACCACTTCATTCATTTGACCTTGAGGTCATGCAGCCATTTTGCGGTCGACCTTATGCACGTTTGACTGTCTCACGTGGGAGCTTGCTTGATCATTCGGTTTGAACTTTTATATTCCAAGTGGACCATTTGTTTTGGACGGGTATCTACTTTCGAGGTTTGTATAATTTATGAATTTGTCTCAAATTAATAATACCACATAGAATCCCAGCCCCGACTTTGTTTTGCCTTTCCGGACGTTCTGGTATCACGCGTCACTCGAAGATACCGTTCGCCCGTTACAATCCTACTCTTTATCTTACGATTGATTTTCAGTCTGCATTTTAAGTGAAATATAGTGGTGGGTATGTTAGTTGTGAGCAGAGAAACAAGACAACGATATCGAACGTATGATTTGGACAGGTTCATTCGAACCTTAGCAGCCTAAAGGTTATGTGGGTACGTGTTTGTTTTGAACGCTGGGAGCTTTTCCATCCTATTCGCGTCAGACTGGTTCTCAATTTAATCTACATCAGTCAATAAATAGCGATAAATTTATAGAAAAATACGCTGGTAGATTATGCAACTGATGGAATGGCTCCCCCTGTTATTCGCAACACTGGCCCTCAATTCCACACAAGTCCGTCCCCCTACGGAAAAGGGGAGGCCGCTACGGGAGATTGATGCACAGGCGAAAAGGAACGTCGACATCTACTTAGTAGACAGGGCCTCATGCATGACTGTTCAAGGTCATATGAATTCTGCTCCCGCTCATTTTGGGTATCCAATCCGCCGTGTCGGTTTGGGCAGCCGTCCTCTTTTCGTCTGATTGGCTATTGACCACTAGTACCACCAGCACGCCGTAATCGATACGTTCAGCGAACAAGCATCAGTTCGCAGCCGACGAGCGGACCAGACGATTTCACACTGACTGCCTCATTTCAAAAAACGGCTCAATCTCCGGACAGAACATGCCAGTCCTAGTTTGAACATACACGATGACCACTCTTCAGTCATATTAATGTTGGGTGTTTGGTCTAGCGCACCAGTGATATTTACTTCTGACAGTTTCGATGGTTTATTTACTTGGACCTGACTCCTGGATTCAAGTAGGTTTGTTCATCCAAGTTACACAAAAGAAGGGGCATGACAGAAAATTCTAACAGAGAATGAAGCGCAGCTGATGTAGTTTGTCGAAATACATCATCTACTGGATGAATACTATATCTATCTGTTTTTCCGATGAAATCCCGGTGGAGATTAGGACGAATGCCTACAATGCATGCACATGCGCCCAAAGCGTACGAAGCTCTTACCAGACTCGGATACCTTAAGATCCTAGTCCAGGTAGGGCAACACAGTATACACATTATTGATGTTGCGGTATCGATCTGATTTAAATGAAACCAAAAAGTCGGTTAATATTACGATGTTAAAGCTATGAGTAGTTCAAAAATTGTTATGGAAAAGTTAAGAGTTCCACAGTTTGATTTAATGCCTTCAAACCCACCCTCAAAATAAAAAGTGCAGTTCTTGTACGTTTCGGTCCAATCAAATGGGCTCGTTCAATCTGCAGAACCGCTATCAGAGCGTTGCCTTGTCCAAGACCCAATGGCACAAGCATATGCTTAAGAAGCATTTTACACAGTGATTCTGTCTGGAAATCGCCTGACCATTATGCAGGCTGGTGAGATGTTCACTCACTTCGGCACACTTCCCTCATAGCGTGCCCGCTTTTGTGCATCAGACACTGGCATAGTGCACGCTTCTCACTCCAAAATGGATTATTAAACGCATTAACTAATGTCTTTCTGTCAGGACGTAACCAGTTTTTTCAGGCTTCAATGCCCCCTCAGTTGGTTTGAAACGAAGGCGTCTTTACCGTAATATGATGGTATATGGGCTTGCTTCACTCGTCTGTTCGTCGTTTTGAACGTACCTAATTGTTCTCTTGCTGCTGTATACAGTAAATAGAGCAGACGGTTCACCTCTTCTGGATTATCCCGACGCACGTTACTGCAGTTACTGTCGACAGCAAAGTTGACCTCTAAAGACAACCTGCATCACCTGCCGTGATTACAATTAAGTACAGCCGCTGTGTTATGATGTGGTACGATGTCATTGTACACCCCTTTCCGCAGAGATTGAAGAGAACAACGAAGTAGTAGGTAGGTAAGTAGGTAAACACAGGCAGCAGAATCGCAGCTACCGGACTGGGCTCAGCTGGGCTGAGTTGAAGCTGTGGAGAAACTTCGTGACCACACTGGCCGATAGTCCATCCACAAGAGCAGTTATTAATACGGTTTAAAAAAGTTACAAGGAATTCCGGGATCCAGAAGCCTGGAGCCACAGTGTCCGGATTCCCTCCAGGTATATATGCTGTGCTTCTAAATCTCCGGCCTTTGTGCAAACTTAAAGTTTCGTTCTCAGGCCCCTATCCGTTACTGCTCAGTTTCGTTCGAGTTGGTGTGCTCGTCTTATTGTACATATTGACATTATCTGATATAATGCGCTGAGTCCGAACATTTATTGGCAGAATACAAGGCCAGAAGGCAAGACGACATTTCTATTCAGTAGCGGGTGTACTTTGATGTGGAACGGGGCTGTCAAACGGTAAACAGCAAACATTTCTCGCTGCCTCATCACCTGTCAGCTAACTGAACTATCTCGTGTCTTCATCGCAGTCACGCGTGGTCGCTCCCAACAGATGACCTTGATTTGTTCATGTGATGTCTAGGCTATGCGCCGTTTCAAAATTCTGGCTAGACATAGAAGGTCAATGCAGAATAGGACGACGGTTTTTCCAGTCAGGCTTGCATGTTTTCATGCCTGCCGTCCTCTCTGTCAATCCGGCCACCGAATAGGTTGTTCGATGCGCTCGGAATGTGTCGGGCAATTCAGGTTCGGCGGTGGAAATATGCACTTTCCTCTGTTGAACCTGAGCGTAGAAACGTGTGAAAACGTGTGGTGATTCACTGAACTCGATAATCACGGTAGATGTCATAAGGAAACAGTGTATCAGTGTGTCAGTGTAGACAAATAGTGGAAAACTTCATAAAATGCCCTATTTTTATGTGTTTACTTGAACCGATGACCACTCTCAGAATTGAGCACAAATTCACCGTGCACATTCGACGGACTGATTACAATTAGTAGATTTTCGGTCATTCTGATATAATTGGTTCTGTGCACCTTCTAATTCGAACACCATTTATATACAATAATCTAGAGCGTCAACAGCTTCACTGCCCTGGGCAAGACAAAAGTTGAACGATTCCGATAACGAACTAAGTTGTCTTATTGAGATGCTGCCCGAAACATTCACAGGTGGTGGCGAAAGTTGAAAAAAAGGTCTATGAAACGAAATGCGCGTTTTTGCACACCAGTTTAGCTTTCATGGGATTCTTAACGTAACGCCGGCTGAATAACCCTTTTATGATATTTTTCAACTGAATCTG